TTTTGGCGATGAAAAGTCATACAATCAAAATATTATATTCAGCTGCACATCACTCAAGGCATTTGAAAAAGCTATAAAAGGAGAACTACTTCAACATTTTGAGCTTGCTAATTCACTACTCATCTTTTGCTCATTGCTAGATCATTCAGAAAGAAATACACTATTGATTTATAAAAGAGAAAATCTCACAAGATCTTACTCGTTTGATCTTTGATAAAACCACATAGTTATTGTTGTACTTAATCTTAAGTGTATACATCACAGTTGTGATACAACTTATTAGAAGCATTCAAACACTTGTTAGTTTACATTAAATTGTAAGAAGTTCCTTAAGAAGACCAAAGTGTGGTCAGTAGTTCTTGAGAAGACTAAGACAGTTGTTCTTAGTGCTTTCTATTATAATCAGTTGATCAATAGTGGATTAAGTCCTTGCAGAGAAAGGCAAATCATCTTTGATAAGGTGGACTGGAGTAGTTGAGTTCAACGAACCAGGATAAAAATATTGAGTTCTTTTTATTGCCATATTTCCTAAAAACTCTTATTCAACCCCCCTTCTAAGTGTTTTTCTCACCTTCAGAAGCGTCTTGAACGGTAGAAGCGAAAGTGAGAATTGAAGCAGACTCAGTCCTGTTTATAAGCCTAACACGGGACTCGAGGCGCTCATAGGCACTCAAACGCCCCTACCCCTAGCCACCCTAGCTAAGTAATGATTTTATAACACATGGCAGCACCAAAAGCTTCACATCCATTCGTCTTCCTTTCGCGCTCGGAGAGCGAGCACATCCCTCACCCTGTCCACCTCCCTGACATGCTGTCCCGTCGAGCATCCTCCGCTCCCGACCTGGCACACGACTCCCAATTCTATGCGTCGGGAAAATACCATCCCCTAAAGAGGTCCTCGAAATTTCTACATGCCCTTAAGTCATTACTCCTCCACCTAGGTTAAGACTATATGAATTGCATCTATGCCTATTGCTTTATTATTAATTTTAATTCTGCACTTTACTTTTTTTCTGCACAACCAACCCCTTAATTGATTTGCCTTAGATAAACACCGTAACAATAGTACTCGATAGATTGACGTTTGGTCTCTGTGGGATCGATAATCTTTTGTATTACTTTGACGTTATTCGTGCACTTGCGAATCGCCCATCAAGTTTTTGGCGCCGTTGCCGGGGACCAATTACGTCAAAATTTCTTACCCTGTTGTTGCACCGTCTAGACTAAGGCTATTCCCGCTGGCCAATGCGAAGAACTCGCAGCACCGATACCCTTATAGATCCTTTAGAGGAACTTGGACGTTACACTCGCACACGTATCTTATTTCGTAGATTTAAGAGAGCTATGGACGAAGACCGTAACCAAAGATCCCTTAAGGATTTCGCTCAACCATCCAATGACGAACCTAGTTCTAGTATTGTGAACCCCAATATTCTTGCTCACAATTTCGAGCTAAAACCGTCCCTATTACAATTTGTACAACAAAACCCGTTCGCGGGACTCGCTACCGAGACCTTGAACCAACATTTAAAAACTTTTATTCAACTAGCTAACACTTTTAAAACCAATGGTGCTACCCCTGAGGCGATTGGGTTAGGATTATTCCCTTTTTCCCTTAGAGACAAAGCCCTTACTTGGTTAGATTCCCTTCCAGACAATTCTATAACAACTTGGGAAGACCTTAGGAGAGTTTTTCTTGCTAGATATTTCCCCCGAGCAAAACCGCTGTTCTTATGAACCAAATAACCAGATTTACCCAAAACCAAGGTGAATCTCTCTTCGAAGTTTAGGAAAGATATAAAGACCTATTGAGAATATGTCCTCACCATGGCATGGAATCATGACTAATCATTCATACCTTCTATAATGGACTTCATTATAACACAAAGATGACCATCGATGCCACTGCAGGTGGCGCCCTGATGAATAAACCTTACCCTGAAGCTTGCGCTCTCATTGAGGATATGGCCTAAAACCATTGTCAATGGGGGATAGAGCGAGCAACAGTGAAAAAGAAAGAGGCCCAAGGAGGAATACATGAGATAAGTTTTATAGACATGATGCAAGCCAAGATGGACGCTTTAGCCCTTAAAGTCGAACATATGTACGCAAACCCAGTAGCTGCAGCAGTAGTTTCAACTGAGTGTGAACTATGTGGTACTCAAGAACACCAATCGACAGAATGCAATCTTCTGAACGAAACTCACTCAGGAGAAGTCAACTACACCCAAGGAAACCCATTTTCAAATACTTATAACCCTGGATGGAAGAATCACCCAAACTTTTCCTACAAAAACATTAACCATAGCCAAAACGCTTAAATATCAAACCATAGCCGACACACAAACATCACACCATAACCGGCAAACACAAACATCACAATAACCCTATGACTTTCAAACCCACTACCATTTCAACCTTTTACCAATAAATCCTTCACACTAATGTCCCCTTTCAATCGTCCAGGCCGCACACCAATGACCCCTCCATCACATCCTAACTACTCTGGCATGGGTCGCAAATTCAGTTACGACAATGTGTCATCGCTCCATACACAAGACTTCTTAGAAATGCAATAACTTCTTAGGGATCTTGTTGATGTTCCTGAGGCCTCAAATCCTCAAACACTTGGAGTGAATCAACAACGAGGACAGCGATTGAGGGTACCTATGAGATGTGGAACCGATGGCCGGTATGACCAACCCGATCGTCATCATTAATTTATGTAATACTATTTTTAATTAATTATTAATGTTAATTATTTTTGCTTAAAATTTTATGATTATACCTTCTCTCTAAATGAATTGGCGACAACATTCAAATTTAACACATTGTCTTCAATTGAATTGGAGACACCATGTGATGTCTCCAGTCTAATTAACTACACCTCTTAGAGCATCTTTAGCGGAAGTATCTTAAGTGGGTAAACTAAAATATTTTTTGTGGGCCCAAAGTGATTTGTAGGATTTAAAAAATTTATAGTTGATTTGAATTGTTTTTACTTTAATGATAATTGCTTATAAAAAACTAAAATTTGATCATATATTTTATATTTTTTAATTATAATTATTTTTTATTGAAGTTACCATTAATTTAATTATTTTAAATAAAATACATAAAACATTCATTGCAAATTTTTTGTGGACCCAAATTATATAGCATACGTTAGCTATATAATTGTTGGAAACTAAAAGTTAGTGAATTAAATGTCATATCATAGCCATTTCAATGCAAATTCTTTATAATCTATTAAAAACCTGCATTAAAGATGCTCTTAAGCCTACAAACTGTCGCTAATTGATATGAAGACAACACTTAATTTTGTTTTTTTGAAATAATAGGATATTTAAGTAAAAAATTCAAAATATCATTACTTTTATCATAAAAATTTGGATAATGCTAACATCAATAAAAAATTAAATTTTTTATTTTTAATAAAAATAATGTACAATTTACGAGATATTATTTTTAGTATTACCCTAAAAATTTATAGTTGTCTTTTTTGGTCGCGTGACATTTTATTTTATCTCCTCTTGGACATGTTTATATTTATTCTTTTAATATTAATTTTAGATTTCTTATATTTACATTTCCAGGTAAATCACAGTGTAAACTCATAAATTTCTCCCTAAAAAAGTAAACAAAAGCGAAGCAAAAGAAATTAAGAAATCCAGGTAACGAAACGGCGAGAACTAATCCTTGATAGAGAAACATAGAAATAGGGATTTGGGAATTACGAACAGACTCTTCACGTTCAGCATTCCGATCCCAAATTCTTCGCACATGGTAACAGATTACGTTTATTCTTTGTTCCTGATTTGATGATCTTATTCTTTCCATTTTCAATTTGATTTTCGCAATTTTGTTTTTTATTCATTGATTTTACCAATTTTTGCTAGGGTTCTTTGTTAAAGTCTGCATTCTTTTAATGTTGAAATTTCTGATATTTGGGGTTTATGATTGTAGTTTTTGGCATGAAGTGAAAAATCGTTGCTGGGAAGAGTGAAGTGTTGGTGTTTTTGATTGGAGTTGCTCTGAGTGATTTCTACCCGTGGTACCCTCTTACCTCCTCGTTTACTTTGTATCAATGGCAATTGGGAAACAGCATTGACTATAAAAATAATAAGACTTTATTATTGTTGTTATGTGCATGTTGGCTACTTCGTTTGAATACTTTGAGAAGCATCAAATGCTTAGTTGATTGGAAAAGTCTAATTAGAATCTTGGGTTGTTAGGCTAAGTGATATGTTTAGCTAGGGTTTCATGTGATGCGGGAACTGATACATGAAAACATAAAACTCGTAGAATATTTGGAGGAGTTGCAACTATAGGCTATGCAAATTCACGGGAGACATGAATAATGATCTTACCGATGAATTTAACTGTGCTGCACTAAACATTTGTTTCCAAGAAAAAATGAGTCAGGAAAGACTGAGCTGTGGAGAGTACAAAGAGGGCATACAACTCGTGTCATCTGATTTACTATTTTTTGTTTAATTGAAGAAATTGTGTTGAAGCTCGGGAATAGGTTTAGGTGTGTAGGAAAAGCTCAGATTTTTTTGGACATATCTGATCCATGTCATCCAGATTGGACAAAGTTTTATGTTGTTGAAATAAATGTTGAAATACATGATGAAAATGCTCTATATCTGCAGTTTATCATTTTAAGAATCTTGAATAACATCTTACTCTCATTCCAAACTTCTGAATTTTGAATTCCTAAACATTTTTTTTGTGGACTACACTTCTTTTTCTTATTTGAGTTAGTAATAAGACATTAGGCTATTCTTGAATATATGCAAATACTGTAGCAATTTAAATGTTGCATTAATAGTGCCTGACAAAACAACAGTTCCCTCCCGCCACTTTCATTCCGCGGATTGCAACTTGAAAGCATGAGTCTGATTATTGATTTCTTTTTAAGTAATATCAGAATTTTTCTTGTTTGGTACAAAACAAATCACCTTGTGACACTTCACTGTTGTTATCGAGTGCAGAAAATGATGGCAGATACCCCTTCATCTCCTATGAATACGCCTTGTGAACACCCCAATAGTAGGGCCTCCCCTTCTCTTTCATGGCCCGATGCAGACATCAACGACAGTGGTGAATCTGGTTTGTTCTCAATTTCATGGAATCAGGACTACAGTTGCTTTGCTGCTGGAACAAGTCACGGTTTTCGCATCTATAACTGCGAACCTTTCAAAGAAACTTTCCGACGTGATTTAAGAACTGGTGGATTCAAAATTGTAGAGATGCTGTTCCGTAGCAACATCCTAGCGCTTGTTGGTGCTGTAGCTAATTCCCATTACCCACCCAATAAAGTTTTGATTTGGGACGATCATCAGAGCAGGTGCATTGGTGAGTTCACATTTAGATCTGAAGTTCGTGGAGTGAAATTAAGACGTGATCAAATTGTAGTTGTTCTCGAGCACAAGATATATGTTTATCACTTAATTAATTTGAAGCTTCTTCATCAAATCGAGACAGTGGCAAATCCTAGAGGGTTGTGCTGTCTTTCGTACCATTCAAATACATTTGTTTTGGCTTGTCCTGGTCGTTGCAAAGGACAGGTTCGAGTTGAACACTTTGGACTGAATGTGACAAAATCAATCAGTGCTCATGATTCCCAAATTGCATGCTTGACTCTGACAATGGACGGGCTCCTTCTTGCGACTGCTAGTGTGAAGGGCACTTTGATTAGAATCTTCAATACAATGGACGGGTCTCTTTTACAAGAAGTAGGTTACTGCAACATGTATTTAATCATCATGATAAACAATTACTATGCCTAACTTGCTGTTTTAATCATCATGCATTTTATTTTCACATCTGTGTAGTATGAGATAGATTGACCGGAAAATGAATTTTTTTGAGAATTTTTCCATTTTCTTTTAATTGATTGAAAGTGAGAAACTCGAGTAAACTTTAGTTAGGCACTTTTATTATCTTTTTTTGTGTTGCACAGCCCTGCTTTTTGGTCATTCTTACATACATATTAAATATAATAATTTTCTTTGCAACTTTTGGAAGTCTCCTTACAAGAACAATTTTATAGAATATCTTGTGTTTATATATAATTTTTTTGACAAGAAACATTTACACCTCAATATTCCTTGGGTTCTCCACAAAACTTTGGAAGTGGAACTTCTTTTCAATAGTAATTAGTTTTTATCTTTTCTATCTGCTTTCCTTTTGTGTTTAATAATCCATTTTCTCTCTCATGTAAGGTAAGAAGAGGGGTGGATAGGGCTGAAATCAACAGTATATCTCTGTCTCCAAATGTCCAATGGTTGGCAGCATCAAGTGACAAAGGCACTGTTCATATATTCAACTTGAGAGTGAGAGTGTTTGGGGTGGATAGTGTAATACACCCAAATTATGTCCAAGGACCTGCACTGCTTCATCAGAATTCTTCAACTGCTTTAGATCCCTTGATTTCTCCAAATACCGGTGCCAACCCCAATTCATCATTATCTTTCATGAGAGGTATAACTGTCTTTCTTTTGTGTGTGCATGTTTTAGATATTTTGGGTGTCTATTTTGGTTTAGGCTGGGTGATGAAGATCTAGATGAAGAAGTTACTAAAAAAATGATTTAAAATGATTAATAGAGTTAATTAGGTGATTAGTAAGGTATTTTATGCCCACTTTAGCAATAAAAAGTAGACCAGGGACCAATTTATAAATGTTTAATAATGCAAGATTGAAATAATTTTTTTTAGAGATTAAAATCAAAGTGTCCCCTTATTGCGGGGGACCTTTTGCGTATTTAAACATTTATGTAGAAAAATTGATGCAATTGCTTGATTCATATTTAATCAGCTATATGAAGTCTCCTGTTTTTATGTAGAGTGCTAGGTATAAAATGAGGTAATACATGAAAAAAATATAAAACCCCCATCTCCAGTCACCCATGACGGGTCACCCTATGTCACTAGATATATGACACATAAACACTTCCCCCCCCCCCCCCCCCCCCCCCCCCCTGAAATCAATGCACATTAGGTTTGTTATTTATTTATTTAATTATTCTTTTGGTTTATGAGTTATCCACATACCATTATCTCTCTGAGAATCAACTCCTTACAAGCATGTTTTTAACATCTTCTCTAATATAACCCATATATTTAAGGGTGTTTTCTAAATCAACTCATGGTTTTTTATTTTACTTTATGGGAAATTGCATAATATTTATGGTACATTAATGTTTTGTTCTTACCTTTTTTTTTCTCTGGAAACATTGTAGGGGTCTTACCAAAATATTTTAGCTCAGAATGGTCATTTGCGCAGTTCCACTTACCTGAAAACGCTAAATTCATTGTGGCATTTGGATCTCAGAACACCGTCCTAATTGCTGGCATGGATGGAAGGTATGTCTGTTTGCCATCATCTTACTGTTATTCTGGACATGCTAAATGAGCCACTTGGGACATTTTAATGTAAAAGTTTATATTATTTATTTATTGATAGAAAGTATATTGTTGGATGAAACACATTAGATTAATCATGAAATTTAATTATTATTAAAAAAAATTATGAAGTTTTTTACTAAGTTATTTCAATGAAGTTAGTTCTTGTCTCACAAGCTCACACATGTAATGTATTATCAAAGAAAGTGTCGGTAGCTTCTACACTCAATTGTTTCTGCATAATTTGCTTTTGTATGCTTCCTTCTCCCTTTTCTTGATGATTGCATGTTTCAATTTCAATAACTTTGAAGAATGGTTTAGATGAATACCACAAATTAGTGCATGTCTTTTATCTACTTTTTCCTTTTAGCCTCTTTAAGACCATTAAATGTTTTCCATCATTCTCCTCATCCTTACATACAACTTCCCACTGTTTTTGTATCAGTTTTTACAGATGCAGCTTTGATCAAGTAAATGGGGGAGAAATGTTGCAGAAGGAATATATTCGTTTCCTAAAATGTTAAATCAGACCCAGTTGAAGTATTTCAGGCCCTAAACTCCTGTCTTTGTATGTGTAAATATGATACATGGCTTGTATATGCCCCTATCTCAATTGGAAGATCTTGAGATACATGGTTGTACATTTCGATTGTAAATATCTTGTAAAAAAGCACGAAATTGAAAAGGAGATTCATTGATAGGGGAATAGCAATTGCCGACTAAATAATTGTCTGAGATATACTGATAGCAATTGCTAAGCAAATAATGTTCTTGCTGAATGTGGTACCTTACTTACAATCCCCTTGAAATTTTGTTGCAAAGTACAAATTATTAGGATTACTAGTGAAAAACTCTGCATGAGTCCGAGGTTAATTGATAAGCAAATTTGGTTTAATATGTCACAGAGATAACGTATTCTCAATAACTATTGATATAGTTGTATGCGTATCAATACATGATTAAATGAGTTTTTACAATAATTAAAAATAAAAATATATATATATATCGTGCTTTTATACATATTCTGACTAGGTTGGACTTCTGTCCAGAATCTCTCAACTTAAATACGGTCAAAAATCTAAGCTTCAATCAAAATATAAAATCTATCTTCATTTGGTATCATCTCATGTGATACTTACACTACTAAGTGTGACCCTTTTTGGATCCTCCACAACAACAAAAATTTACATGATCAACACAACCTCAGTATTGGCATTGTATTTGAATACTCCGCCTTGTATAAAAGATCAAATTCCTCTTTTGCCTTACTGGTAACAACTATACTTGCATATCACATGTAGTAGTCATACTCATGTATCGTCTCTCATTGGTCGTCCACCTCACAACAGAATCCTTTTGCAGTTGTTTCACTAAACCTCATACAAGACACAGAAAACCACTTCTTTGGTACTATTATTAATATGGATGTAAGCTCTAATTATACACCAACTAGACTGGCTTTAGCAGTATCTTTAACGCTTCATCTAGGACATGACAATGCAGTTTCTATGTATTTTTCCCGAATTCTTTAAATATTCTACCCGTAAAGTTTGAGTCACCCATAAAGGACTCTCACTATCTAAAGGTATGTTATAGACTCTACATGCTACACTTGCTCATCCATCATCAATACGTATCTCATTGAGACCCTTGAACAAATATTATAACTATATGGCTTTAAAACACTATGTTTAGAATTATCCATATCTTTGGTATTTTGAAAAAAAAACTATAGAGAAAAGGAACTTGTAAATATTCATTGGCTAAGATTTGTTGTGATGGTTTTGTTTTGGAGTTTTCATATGAGAGAGACGAATGAGAGAGTTATTAGGATTTTGTTTTGAAAGAGACGAGTGAAAGATTTGTTAGGGTTTTGTTTTGAGAGAGACAACTGTTATGTACTGAAGCGATATATAATTTCGCTTATATATAAATAAAGTATCGCCTTTCATCACGGTTGGTAATAAAATCCGTGGTGATATACAAAGTAAATAATATTTTTTATCACGATAAATAGCTAATTGTTGGTGTTGGAATTCAAACCATTTCACTTCGTGTACCTTTTCACCACAGTTGCTTCATTTGACCGTTGTGACATGTCCTCTAGTAAATACTAAAAAAAAACGCCCAGAAATAAACTATTATCACGGTTAATACTATGACCGTTGTAAAATTGGTGTTACGAAAGATATATTTTATAGTAGTGCCTATTCAACATGCGTAAGTGAAATTAGGCGATGCAATAAAATGTTGATTCAAATGCCACTACTCGGGATCGCATATCCCTATTCAACCAACGTAAGTACAAAAGTTGCCTTAATTCCAACACATAGACTATTAGTCAGAAACCCCATGTGCCTAAGATCATATCAAAAGAATATCTTACATAACAAACATTAAGGAAAAGAAGCAACTAAATATAAATATGACTCCAATTATTCGTGCAATGACAAATTAAACATATGTCCTAACAAGTTCAAAATAAGTCCATCCACTAAAATCTAACTTATAGATGTTTAGCTACTCATAACGATACAGTCAAATACCAAATGATTAGATGAAGATTGAATATGAAAATCCAATATTTCAAAATCGCTCTCTTGATGCTCTTTACCAACACCACTTTTAGTCTAAAATTGCAAAACTCTTCAAAAGATGCCAAAAACTCCCTTTTATATTAGTCAGCTCAGTCCAGAACGCGTCATAATAGGCCTAGAAAATAATCTATCGCGCACATGATAGCATGCATCGTGCGCGCGATGTGAAGAATACTTTTCTATCACGCGCATGATGCTCTGTGTGATTATTCCAGTAGCTGTACATTTTTTGCTCCTTTTTTCATCTGATTTTCACTAAGTCCTTATTTCTTCATACTTGGTTATTTTTCCATCTTTCTTTTATCTTTATTCTTCATTTTTGCTCCTATTTAACTTGTTTTGATTCGTTTCTTTGACCGAAAATATGCAATGACAGAGTGTCATCATAACCCCCAACTTGAATTATTGCTTGTCCTCAAGTAACTTGCCTGCATTGTCAATTCCAAACAGAAAAACAAGTTGCACAATAATAATCGAACATCATCATATGAAATTTTCTTCACCTGACCATCATTTTAGCTTCCAACTTCAATCCGGAAAATTCAGAAAACACCCTCAATATTTGACAAGTACTCAACCCGTCTCTCATCTCACCATGATTCACTCAATTGATAGGGTAGTCTCTCAATCAGCATGCAAAATTATTTATACTACATTTGATTATATTCTAATAGAATTTGTCCAAGAAATCAAAACACATATATTTTAGGGCTTTTTTGATTGTATCTTCGCTTAGGGTAGGACATTTTTGAAAAAGTAGAGTTAAACCTTTGGAGTTAGGTACCTAGTTATCCTCTTGTTATCATACAACTCTTTTCCTTATTAACGATACTAAAGATCTTCTACTGTGGTCCTCAATATTCATTTTGCATTCTTTTTCTCTTGTTTTTTTGAAGAAGTTATTTTTAACTCCTTATTTTCCAAAATTTTGAATTTTTGACCATTTTTTCTCTAGTACCCCAACCCCAAACTTAAACCTTCTTCACTTCCAAGAGCAACTCAAAATTTATTCTCTTTCATACAACTTTAGAACTAAACATTTCTACCTAACTCCAAAGAGAGGGAGGAAATATGAAATCTTTCAAGTCATATGGCTAATAAATAAGGCTAAGTCACCGAAAGAAAGGCTAAGCTCAAAGTAGTTAGCAATGGATGTATCCTATTACTACATGGTGGTTAAAAAGGATTAGAGTTCAAAGCAAGCAACTGCCTCAGTGTGTGTCAATCAAACTAGACAAATTTAATCAGAAATAGTTCAAACCTAGTAAAGCAATAATGCATGAATACATTCAATGAAAGGAATAGTAAATAATGAAATTTGTTTGGCTCAAACCTTACTAGTTAATGTATCTGAAGGTTGAGTACAAGTATTTTAATTCCTTTTTCATTCTTTGCTTTCAATTTTTAAGTCGCTTTCTTGATGATAAATTTTCATTGGATGATACTTTTGGTTCATTTGTTCAACGCTACAAGTGCAATTTTTGTAAATCTGAAAGAAACAACAAATACAAACTCATTAATTAAAGACAAACATAGATAATGTTTAAGAAGCGTGTGTGAATGGATAATTCCTATTATTTAATCTAACTACTAACATAAAGTAAATTATGAAAAAACAAAGAAACTAGTTATAAAAGATGTGTTGTCTCCCATACAACACTTATTTTGTGTCGTTAGCTTTACTGCTGGATTCAAGGTTTCGAAAGTATTAGGGAAACTTTTTCATTTGGAATTTCCCCTCCATTATAATGCTTTAACCTTTGTCCATTTACCTTAAATCTCCCCATATCACCTGGATCTTGAATTTCAATGGCATCGATTTGGAAAACTTTTGTGACAACAAACAGTTCTGACCACTTGGATTTCGGTTTTCTTGGAAACACTCACAGTCTTGAATTAAACAGTAAGACTTGTTGTCCTACTTGAAAATTTTGTCTCACCAACTTTTTGTCATGATATCTTTTCATCATTTCCTTGTAAATTAACGCATTCTTATACGCCGATAATCGCATCTCCTCCAATTCGTTCAATTTCAGTAACTTATTTCTCCCAACCACCTTTTTGTCAAAGTTCATGAATTTTACCGTCCAATAAACTTTGTGCTCCAGTTCTACAGAGAGACGCCATGTTTTACCATAAACAAGTTGATACAGAGAGAAACTTAAATGTTTTTTGAAGGTTGTTTTATATGCCCACAAAGCGTCATCCAATTTTTTCAACCAATCTTTCCGTAATGCTGCCACTATTTTCTCCATAATTTGTTTTAGTTGTCTATTCAAAACTTCGACTTGGCCATTAGTTTGAGGGTGATATGGTGTTGACACTTTATGTTTAACATTATATTTTTCTAGCAATCTTTCCAAATATATGTTGCAAATGTGTCCCTCCACCACTGATCAATACACTAAGTACACCGAACCTGGAAAAATTATTCTTTTTCAAAAAGTCAGTAACAGTGCGGGCATCATTAGCATTGAAAGCATTTGCCTCACCCCATTTGGAAACATAACCAACATAGACAACAATTTAAATATACAATTTTAATTGGGGTAATGGACCTATGAAATTGATTACCCATTAATTAAATGGTTCTACCTCAAGCATAATATTCAAAGGCATCGTCTCATTTTGTGATGTTACCAGTTCTATTGCATTTGGGGGCATGTAGGCACATATAAATTACAATAATTAAATAGAGTAGGCCAATGAAACCCACTCTGCAGTATTTTGGATGCAGTTCTCTCGCCACTATGGTGTCCTTCTGTTAGCCTGGATTTTTGACTAGGAGAAAACCCCAGCAAATAAGAGCAAAGAAGGGGAGCTTTTGGTTTGACTACAATCTTGGACTTAGAGAAAATTTTGGATGTTGCAAGAAACGTTTTGACACCTATATGCCCCAACCATGTAGGTGTAGGTCTTACCACAAC